TCTTTCCTGCATATTTGGCCTCCACCATTTTAAAAGCTTTCTGACTTTTGGCAAATGTTCCTTAGAATTTAAGCAGAACAAATATTGACCACGTGTGGCTTGGTGGGTTTTGATGGGTTTTTTTGTTGGTGGGTTTTTTTTGTTTGTTTTGTTTTTTTCCTTAGGAACATCAACTGCCAATAGGGGTTAAGCTGCGGTTATACAATTACTACAGCTGTTCCTGCCCTAATAAAAATATTCTAGATTGTAATACAATGTTAATAACATTAGTGGGCATAGGTTTCTGTTGCTGCATTGTGAATGGTATGACACTACTTTTCCAGGAATTTTTTAGTGGATAATTGAGTGTTGCTTTGGCACAGGAGTCTTGGATTTAAGTTTTGAAGGTAAAATTTAATCTCCTGTGATTCTATTGCTGTTATTAAGCCAGTTTTTCTCCTGTTATTAGATTGAACTCATTTATGTTTATGTCATATAAACACACCAGGTGGTGTTTCTTTATGAACTACAATGGTGTGTCTGAGTTAAATGCTCAGATTACGGTTTTTCTAGGAAAGGCTCTAACCTGGTGAGGCCACATCTGGAGTATTGTGTCCAGTTCTGGGCTCCCCAGTTCATGAAGAACTGCTGGAGAGGATCCAGCAAAGGGCTACAAAGATGATTAGAGGATTGGAGCACCTCTCTTATGAGGAAAGACTGAAGGACTTGGGTCTTTTTGGTCTGGAGAAAAGAAGACTGAGGTGGGATCTTATTAATGCTTATAAATACTTAAAGGGAGGGTGCCAGGGGGATGGGAACAGTCTTTTTTCAATGGTGCCCAGTGTTAGGACAAGAGGTAACAGGCACAAACTTGAACATATGAAGTTCCATCTAAACATGAGGAGGACCTTCTTTCCTTTGAGAGTGGCAGAGCACTGGCACAGGCTGCCCAGAGAGGTTGTGGAGTCTCCCACTCTGGAGACATTCAAAACCTGCGTGGACACTGTCCTGTGGAACCTGCTGTAGGTGACCCTGCTCTGGCAGGGGGGTTGGACTAGATGATCTCCAGAGGTCCCTTCCAACCCTGACCATTCTGTGATTCTGTGGAAGTATGTATTTGTCAGTAAAACTTTTAATATTTTCATTTTGTGTGTCTGTGCATTTAAGGCACCCTGAATTAGCAACTGTGTGCAGAAGTCCCAATACTCTAATTTTGTATCCTGGAGCTGAAGCAACCAATTTGGAAGAAGTGACTGTCATGTCTGCTAATCCATCTGTCATGATCATCATCGATGGAACATGGAGTCAGGCGAAGGATATATTTTACAAAAATTCTCTCTTCCGGCTTCCCAAGCAGGTGAGTTATAATAGGTAAAATAAAAATGCTAAGTGTGTCTAATAGATAATTACTTTATGACCAGCTAGAAGGGGAAGGTTT